GGAGAAGGAATGTACTTGTTTATTATTTTTACTATACAAAAGGACTATATTCCTTAAGAAAAGTATAAGAATCTAGCAAGAGGAAGCAGAAATCAAAGATTTTTAAGAGCTTAGAGCACAGTGATTTGGTTATAGATTTTGTTACATAACAGTTACTTTCTTTGCAAAGGGCAAAGATGATCACCCAAGCATTTGGGGAAAAAGAACAGTGTGCATGGAATGAGATTTTGAGTTAGAGAACAAGGATGGGGAAGCCATTTCTTACAGACCTCAGTTTTCTTAGGTACATTTTTGGAGGCTAGAGCTCCTGAAAAAATGTTACTGGGTGAAATTAGGCTTCGGCTGTTTGAAACTGAACAATCAGTTCACCAGAGATGAGAGATGATGCATAGGAACGGGTTTACTTAAGAATCAGGCCTTCCTGGGGGAGGAGCAGACCTCTTTGGTTGGTCTAAGATATGCTCCTCCCCTCCAGCTCATTGAAAAGAGGTCTTTTAAAGGAGAAAGGGGATTTGGAGGGAGATTAGGGACAATTGTTGTATGGGTTTCTGGGGTCCCAGGTGGTGCCAGTTAGGTGGAGGCTTCTTTGATATGAAACTTGGCGGAAGCTTTTTTGATATCACAGTTGGCGCTTTCCAGTGGTGGTCATAAATTCTTCATTTAGGGTCTGCTGCTTCAGCCATCTCCTTGCAATCAGCTTCTGAAACTCCTAGGCCTGTTGAATAAACACTCTGGTTAGCCACAAGAGAGCTTTTATTAATTACACTGTGAAAAGAAAAGGAAAATACACTTTTTTTACAGTTGCAAATATGTGACTGTTTAAAAAATAATCAAAATGTGGAAAGGAGAATGAAGATGTATTCAGTATGGTTACAAAAGTGTGGAAGGTTTTGCATCCTTGTGAGCATGTTTTAGGGCAACTGAAAGAAAGGCTGTGTTTCTATTATAAATAGCTAAGTCAGATTCTGGATTTACCAATGAGTTATTCAATTAATTAATAAAATCTTAACTATTTAATAATTTCTCCCTAATTTTATTTGAAAATTTTCTGTGATAACTATTTCATTATTTTGTTCACAATTTCTAACTTTAATTTCTCAGATTATTGTGCAAGTGTGTAGTATCTATTATAAACCTGGATGATATACAACTTTTACTTTAGTATACCAAAAATAGATTGTTTTGAATGAAAATAGTGTTTGGATTAAAGTGTCTCACAGAGAACTCATTTGTCAGGATTCTTCCTCTTTTTCAAAACTTTTTATGGGTAAATAGATGATGAATATATAAATTAATTTAAGTTTGAGCCCTTAAAAGAAAATTTGTCAAAATGAAAGCATACTTAGAATATGAATAAAAATACCAAGAAAGAAAAACCTAATAAGGTGGCTTTACGTTGATATATCTGTAAGATGAATTTTGTCAACTATTAACTTTGAGAAAACTTCCAGGATAATCTGTTAAACAAAACTGAGTTTATTACTTCTTGCTTTCAAGGAGGATAACATTTTGCAGGAGTATCACATCGCCCAGAATTGAGGGGACTAGGGAGAGGTAAGAATAGAGACAAGGATCTGGGTTGTAGTGGTGAAGATAGTTCTTTTGATGTGATGATTTGGTTGGTGACATAGAGAGGAAAGTACCTTAAAGTGATTTGTGCCGGCGCCACGGATCACTAGGCTAATCCTCCGCCTAGCGACACCAGCACACCAGGTTCTAGTCCCGGTCGGGGTGCCAGATTCTGTCCCAGTTGCCCCTCTTCCAGGCCAGCTCTCTGCTGTGGCCCAGGAGTGCAGTGGAGGATGGCCCAAGTGATTGGGCCCTGCGCCCCATGGGAGACCAGGAGAAGCACCTGGCTCCTGGCTTCAGATCAGCGCGATGCGCCGGCCAAAGCACACCGGCCGCAGCACACCGGCCGTGGCGTCCATTGGAGGGTGAACCAACAGCAAAAGGAAGACCTTTCTCTCTGTCTCTCTCTCTCACTGTCCACTCTGCCTGTAAAAAAATAAAATAAAATAAATAAATAAATAAAGTGATTTGTTTTTCAATTGAGCGACTTGCCCAGATTTAGGAATTTATGATACAGGTAAATTAATTTTAAGCAAGTTACCAAAAATCAGTGAAAACTTGTTCTGATTTAAAGCCTTGACTTAAAAACAAGAACATCCTGAAATAGTGAATTACACAGACTTGACCACCTTGCTCTTGTTCCTGATAGTTAAGCAGATGCAGAGGTCGCCATGCTTAATATCATTAACACTGAGAACTTGCCTGTGGTGGAAAATGCTTTATTATTTGCTTTGTGTGAAGATATATAAGGTTGTGTTTACCCAAGTGACCTTAAACTAGGATATACTATAATATCCTTCCTTTGGTTAACCAAATTATAGGGGAAAAAATCAGACAGAAATCAGAATAATGTTTAGGTGTATTGCCAACTGAAAATCCATGCTGGGATCTTCAGAAGGAAATGCTAGACAGTTATTCCTACTTTTCATTGAAAAAAACTGATTGAGAGGTAGGCATTTGATATAACAATTAAGAAGCTGCTTGGGATGATTTCATCCCATGTCAAAAATGCCTTGACTACTCAGCTTCAGATACCAGTTTCCTACTAATGCACATCCTATGAGACAGCAGGTGATGACTCAAGTGCTTGGGGCCCTGCTACCCATGTTGGAGACCTAAATGAGTTTTGGGGTTCTGGCTTCAACCTGGCTCAGCTCTGGCTTTTGCAGGCATTTGGGTAGGGAACCAGTGTATATAGAATCACTATCTCTTTGCCTTTCAAATAAAATAAAAACTATATTATAAAAAATACATAAAAATAAATAAAAAAAACTGAGTTCAGGATAATTGGCTTTTAACTTCCAATAAGCTGAAAAGAAGGGAACAATAACTTAAAGTACCATACAGACATGCATAATTATTTAAGAATATGTCTAGTGCCCCTACCTTAATCATCCTGTATTAATTCACTTTATTCATTGATCTGATTCATTCATATTTCATTACCTAACATTAAACCAAATATGAGATAGTTATTTTGAATAGAGTTTCTGAATAAAATGTATTAATACGGGAGTAGGAGTTATCTAAACTAGGAGATTCCATTTGCAATTATAAGTTACACAGCAAAGTAGGATAGTTTGAGACCCAGAATAACAAATTATCTGAGGGCATTCAAAATGTTCATGACAAAATGGAATTTAAACATCTTTTATTGCAAAAAAATGATTTTCTTACAGTTTTTTTCACAATATACATTTTTTAAAGAATTTTTGTAGACAAATTTTTTTTCAGAAAGGACAGAAAAACATTAAAATGAACTAGTAAAAGCAGACATTAGGTGCTTTTTTTTTTTTTTTGACAGATAGAGTTAGACAGTGAGAAAGACAGAGAGATAGGTCTTCCTTCTGTTGGTTCACCCCCCAAATGGCCTCTATGGCCGGACCTACACCAATCTGAAGCCAGGAGCCAGATGCACGTGTGGATATATATTTTTTTTTTTTGGACAGGCAGAGTGGACAGTGAGAGAGAGAGAGACAGAGAGAAAGGTCTTCCTTTGTCGTTGGTTCACCCCTCAATGGCCGCTGCAGCCGGCGCACCACGCTGATCTGAAGCCAGGAGCCAGGTGCTTCTCCTGGTCTCCCATGGGGTGCAGGGCCCAAGCACTTGGGCCATCCTCCACTGCACTGCCAGGCCACAGCAGAGAGCTGTCCTGGAAGAGGGGCAACTGGGACAGAATCCGTCACCCCTACTGGGACTAGAACCTGGGGTGCCAGCGCTGCAGGCGGAGGATTAGCCTATTGAGCCACGGAGGCGGTCTCATTGTATAGATTCTAAGTGTTACTGTTACAATATTGAAATGACTAGTGAATGGATCACAGAATCTTGTTATGCCAAAAGTATCAGATATGTCCATATACGTCATTGTGGTTAATCTTCATAAGCTGTCACACAGTACTTGTATTCCCATGATGCAGTTAAGACATTCAGGTTCTGAGAGACTGTAATTTATGCAAATTCATTTTCTGTAAATAGTGTCCCCAATGCTCTTTTTCTCAAGAATGGACAGGGAGTTGGGAAGCGTATGCTATACTATGGAAAAGGTTAGAATTGGCTAAAACTGGAAACTACATTATGATTTTAAACAGAAGAAAGTATTCAAGACCACTTTTATTTGGCTGTGTTTCTTTTTTACCTAATTTTATACACAGTAATAATATTTTTAACTTCCAAATATCCTGTTGTGTGATCAATTTTCCTCAGGTTAATAATTTTGATCAAAGATATTTCAATATGACTTATTTTTTACAACCATGACTAAATTTCACTAAAAATATATAAAATCTATCATCCAGAAGCAATGTGATTATATCAAATGAAAACATTATTCTCCTAACATTGACAAAGTGGATTCCATGCTATGGCTTGCTAAGAGCCTCAAAAATTTTGAGTTGTGATCACGCAAATCAGAGTAGATACCAGAGAATAAACTGAACCCCAAAGTGGAAGTGATAGAATAAAACTTGAGTGGTTGTAGAAGGTCTAGGTATGCGAGTCTGCATGAGTTGAATCAGTATGAGGAGATTTAGGGTTGTGCTGTGTCTTAGTACACTGGCAGCCCTTAGTGAAAGTTAACTCACTCATTAACACTAGCTGACTTTGGAAAATTTAGGCACTTCTTTTAATCCCTCCTTTCACATTACAATGGGAAACAGATTGCTCATATTTTAATTAGTTTTTACTTGTTAAACCATGAATCTCAGTGGCCCTCCTGCTAATCCCGTGTTTATTACACAACAGACCATGTTTAGGAGGGCTTCTTGATCTTTCAAGAGAATTAATGTGAGCCAAGTAAAGAAATCAACTGGGGTTATTGAAGGCTAACAATGATTGCTCTAATGTGTCTGTTTATTATACACATTTTCTCCCCTACAGTTATTATATTATTTAGTCAATGGATTTATCAATTGTTAATGTCTTTGTTGTTGCAGATACAGATGTGGTGTATAAAAGCGAGAATGGACATGTCATTAAACTGAATATAGAGACAAATGCTACCACATTATTATTGGAAAATACAACTTTTGTAAGTAATGAAAACTTACTTTACGCATTTCAGAACTGTTTAGAATGCTCCCTAGGTGTCCAAATTTATGCTTCAGCTTCAGTACTTGTATGTCATTTCAGTTGGAAAGATAGGATTGAAATGCTAGAACTGGTAGAATGATTGACCGAAAATAATTCTGTGACCATTTTGTCCCCATTGACCCTTTTTAGTAATTGAATATGCATTTCTAGAAATAAGAGCTGCTTAGACTGAATACTTTTTTCAACATTTTTATGCCAGATTAGTCACACAGATGTGAAGACTAAAACATGGTTAGCCTAACCCTTTACTTTTTACATTCTTCATTTATCCTCATTCTCTTCTTTTCTGGATCAGGCAGAAAGATGGCTTTATAAAACTATCCTTCTGTGCTGGCGTTTGATGTTTTAGTTTTAGAAGTGACTCTTTGGTTGTCTTCAATCACTGTTTGACCAACAATGTTTAAATAACTGAATATATTTATATTACACTTAAAGAAGAAGGTAGCTATATCTTTCTAATAAATCCAATCCCTCTGAGGTTAGAAAGTTTAGCTAGAAATACCTATTGAGCAAGTTATATATGAAATAACTATTGAAAATGTTCAAAATCTAACTACCAAGCACCTTTGAAAAGCAATACACAGTTATTTCTTCATTTTTATGTATCAGAATTTCAATGTATCATCTACTCTGTGAGTTTATAGATACAGGCAAAATAAACCAAACAGCCTCAGAAGATTTCCTTTACAAAATGAAACAATAAGCAAAATCACTGGCTATTTCATTTATTTATCTCACTTGTAAAATTGGAAAACACATTGAATCTTTATAAGTTTTATATGATGGCCAGTTGGAACAGATGGGCTAGGAATATTCTCTTGTTTAGTGGCTTATGCATTAAAAAAATCGTCACTAAAATGATGGAGATTGAACACACACTTGTATATCTTGCTAGCTAAATGTAACCATTACCTTATATACATTGATAATTAAGTCATTAACTAGAAGAAAACAATGGCATTTCTGTTTTTTAAACTAATCTATTAGCTCACAGATAATTGAGAAACAGCTGTTCTGCATGCAACTTCTTATAGTACTTACGGAATATCAAAGAAGCTATGATGGGCATTTTCTGTGGTCATTTAGGTGTCACTTCAGATGCCCACATCTGATATTACAGTGCCTGAGCTCCAGATCTGACTCCTTCTCTAATTTCATCTTCCTAGTAATGTATACCCTGGGAGACAGTAGGTGGTGGCTCTGGGATTTGACCCAAACAGAGGAGACTTTGTATTCTAGACTCTGGCCTTGACCTGGCCTAGCCCCAGATGTTGCAGGCATTTAGGGAGTAAACCAGTGGATGGAAGTTGTCTCTCACTGTCTCTTTGTGTGTGTGTGTGTGTGTGGTGTGTGTGTATTTCTCTGCCTTTTTAATAAAATGAAAATCAATAAGAAAAATTTTAAAATATATTTATATGTAAGGCAGATGGCTCACTAGGAAAATGGATTTCCTTTGGTGAGATAACACTAGCCCTCATGAAACATCTGAATAAATAGCACAGAGGAGAATCTAATCTTTCTTCATTGGAGGGGCGTCAGAGATACTGGAGAAGAGGCCAGGGAATTCATGAGAGATACTTTCTTCAGTGGACTAGAATTCCTTAGTGGGAAGATGGATGGGAGGCAAAAATCAGGAACTGATAATGATGATGATGAGAGAGTGTTTCAATGATATCCTTATAAAGTCAATATGAGTTTTCTGTCCATGAGTTAGTTTGGGAAAACTTTAAATGTCTTCTCAGTTTGATTTCCTTTATCAACATGTGAAGTTTTTTGAGTGAAGATGATAGTCAAATATTTGGACACTTAGCTCATGAGTATCTTGTTATATGACTGTTCATTACTGATCATTCCTTAAGTTTATGAAGTTTTTTCATTGATTACTGCTTATGTGTCTTTTTATCTAGCATTTGTTCAATGCTGAATTAGACTCCAGGGAACATCAAAAAGAAAAAAAAAGCATATAAGTTATTATTCCATTATTCAAATTCCTTAGTTGATTTTACACACCACTACCCACTCATCTCTTTGTAGATTTCTACACGTGCTAATTAATTCTGTTTTTATCTTTATGCCTATGTATTTAATCTTCTTAAAATCCTTTGGAGGTCTGTTCCTGTTTTTCTCTATGTTGGCCATGACTCTTAATTACAGAGTCATATTTAGAAAACTCACTAAGTTACTGATCTTTTAAGACTCATAGGCTCCCTGAACACATTTATGTCACAGCACAGATAATTAAACAATTTATAAGTCCTAAAAGTGTCAGAATTTGATAGGGGTGGGAGGAGTCAGTGGAGTGGAGAGTAGCATATATTTGCAATCAGTTAACCCAAAACTGAAAACAAGTATGCACGTTACCATGTTTTCGGAGGAATTAGTTTAATAATTTCCTCCATGCTTCAAATTAACATTACTGAATACAATTGTGTTTTTAAAGCTCGTATTAGGCTAAAGTCTGAATTTACTTTTTCTCTCAGGTCATTCTGTTGTAAAGAAATCTCTTAACACAGCTAACATTCGTATCCATACTGTAAGTTTTTCTGTAAAAAAATTATCAATATTTTAGTTAGAATCATAATCAATTGGATCAGATCATTATAACAAGATTTTGTACTAAGAGGATACCAGATCAACTGAGAAAAAAAACTAATAGAATGTTGGTTTAATAACAATATTAACCAGCCAAAACCAGCCAATTAGAAGTTGCTCTAGCATTCTTGATTTTTTAAAAATGAAAAACTGAGGCAAACCCATTTTCAATAACTGTGAATTCCTTCTGTACTAAAAAAAGCTTAAATTTTACTTTTCCCAAATAAATAGAAATGTGGGTATTCTCTGTATTTTTCTGAGAATAAAATCTCAGATGTGGAGTGTTGTTTAATAACAATATTATGCTAGGATATCACTGCCAATTTATATTAATAGTTAAGATAATTTAACATTCCATTAATATTTTCCCAACTTAATCACATTTTAATAATGGGTAGCAGACAGTGAGTAATGATAATACTGGCTATGGCTGTTAAAAATAAGACCAAAAATAATTTTCATGAGATAATTGTATTAAGGTGTTCTTTGGGCTTGAAGTTAGGTCAGTTTCTAATGAAGGAGGAAATTAAAGAGCATATAAGTTTTTGAATAGGAAGATAGGGGAAAAAATGATTAGTACCCAAACTGCTCTTAATCATTCCAAAGTGTTTGGAGCTGTTATCTGTTAAAGTCAGAACCATTTCAGAGAAAAGCTCATTCACAATGGCATAATCAAGCCGGCGCCTCGGCTCAATAGGCTAATCCTCCACCTTGCGGCGCCGACACACCGGGTTCTAGTCCCGGTCAGGGAGCCAGATTCTGTCCGGTTGCCCCTCTTCCAGGCCAGCTCTCTGCTATGGCCCAGGAGTGCAGTGGAGGGTGGCCCAAGTCCTTGGGCCCTGCACCCACATGGGAGACCAGGAGAAGCACCTGGCTCCTGGCTTCGGATCAGCGCAATGCACCAGCTGCAGTGTGCCGGCCATGGTGGCCATTGGAGGGTGAACCAACGGCAAAAAGGAAGACCTTTCTCTTTGTCTCTCTCTCTCTCACTGTCCACTCTGCCTGTCAAAAAATAAAAAAATAAAAAAAAAAAACAATGGCATAATCAGGAAAAATGTTCCATAAGTATTAACTCTACCGTTTCTGCTGTCAATAATTTGATATAATCATTGGTTTTGGCAGAAAACAACGCAGCTATAAATTATTTTGTCAAATCACTTTTTGAAATTAGAAAAGAATTGGAAAATGAGTCTGAATTCCATACATTCAAATTGTATGAAGCATGAAAAAAGAGAGATTATATGTACTAGTTTAAGAAAGAATAACTGAGATAAAACTAATCTTAAATCTCTGAAAATGCACAAGCCATTAAATATATTCTGTGCAAATAGCCTAAAACTAAGAGGAGGGAGGAAGTTCCTATATGGCAGCAGATTGATTCCAAGCAAAAGATTTTCTATGCATTTTTTTCACCATTTAGAGGCCATTACAAAATAATAGGTTTGACTAGAGCCAGGGAATATTCATTGATTTATCATTACAGAGAGTACCTATTGGTCTCCCATGGGATTCTGGGATGTTTTTGTTTGTTTGTTTTTTGTTTTTTGTTTGTTCTTTGTTCTTTTGGTTTTAGTTCCACTCGGTATGTGGGGTGATAAAGACAACTCTTTGTGCTATGATCAAGAAATTTATATTCTGTTTTGTGTTTGAGGAAATATAAGTTCCATGACAAAAATAGAATAATGCAAATAAAAGTGTTGTTGGATAAAGATACCCAGAATTCTCATTAGCCATGTGGCTCTAGTTACGTAATTTTCTTAAGTTCTGGGCTTACCAGTGTATGTCAAGTGTCCCAGTAGTCCAAGTGTCCCAGTAGTGCAGTTAATACTGTTGGAGCAACAGGAACTATCTGGCTATGGATGTTGTTGTGTTCTGAACAGTACAGCTCCTTCCTTAGATAATAGCTCTCCTGCCGCCCCCAGGAGACATTCAGCAACTCTGGAGGTATTCCTGGTTGTCTTGACTGGAGTGAGGCGTTTGATCTGGAGATCCAGTGAGTAGAGGGGAAGAACGAGCATCCTACAATGCCAGGACAGTACCTCACAGCAAAGTCTTATCCACCAGATGTGTCAGTGCTGTAAAAAAATGAAAAACAAAAACAAAACTACATTCTAAACGGAGAAACCATATGATGATTGGATGATTTTATTTATTTATTTATTTATTTATTTTATTTTATTTTTGAAGTGAGATCAAAGTAACAATTCTTGAATAGGTAACTGTAAGGATATCTTTTCTATATTTATTTATTTAAAAGGTGGAATTACAAATAGGGAGGGGCATAGAGAGAGAAAAGTCTTTCATCTGCTGGTTCACTCCTGAAATTGCCACAATGGCCACAACTCA